ATCACATCCCTATGCGGTAAGCATTTAAGCGTTCACTATATTATTTATACTACATTTAGTAAAACCAATACATCAACAGTTGCTCTGTTTGTTTTGCCTATTTTTATAGCGTATATCTCTTATTAAAAGACAATTTATATTAAAAACCAATGAATTATTTATAGTTTTATTTTCCTTCTTAAAGATGATTATTTTTAAAGCGATAATTGTATTAAATTTTTTGTTGAGATATTTAATGGATTGCTTGTGAGAAATATTCATTAAAAAGTTTTGCAAAATGAGTTCCCAAAAGTCAAATGTTATCTAAGAATAGTATATATAAAACATGCGATAATAAAAAGCGTGAAAATTGATTCTTCTCTTGAGAAACGAAAAGTGAAATTAATTTCCGAAATAAAATCCAAAATATATTATTGATTTTGTTTTGAACGGAAATTCCTGAACATATACTGTACTCTATAAACAGTGCAAAAACGCCGGAAATATTAATGTATTTTTATACGCCTTTAAACAAATTTTATATTAATTACAAAAAATGATTTCAATTGTAAGTAAATTAATTATTTTAAAAGTTGTTACCCGTATTTGTTAATATTACGGCACATATATTTAAATTTATTATTAATTAACTGTTGAAACAGTAAATACTGTACTGTTTAAAATATGAAATTATACAAAAACATTCAATTAATTATGAAATTATATAAAAGTAAAAGTTAACGACAAATATGTGTTATATACTATACTTTGGTTCTTTAGTTCTGATGAAATTGTGATAAAAATCTTATAACTTATATTATGTTTGATATATAATATGTTTGTTTAAGACTTAAAATTGAAATGCTATTAAAGGCTTTGTATTTTTGTACAAACATATTGAGTGTCAAACTGGACAACAATTCTGGGAATGCATTTGTTTGCATGGATTAAAAAGACATTGGATTTAATAAAAATCAATAAGTGAGTCGAGAAATGCAATAATAAAAGTTACTTTTTAATGCAAACTTACAAATGGTTTTCACAGTTTGAGCTCATGTTATGCAGTGAAGTATAGGCTTTGTGTCACATATAAAATATAAATCAAGATAATAATGTGTCGCAAACACCAGAATATTCTCTCACAAATACTCTTTATAAATGTAATGATTAGCTTAGGAACAGAATATTCTGTTTTATTTTGCTTTACTATTTAAGTGTTATATCATATATGGCTCTAATTTTCTTTTAAATCATGTTTGCATTCATACATAGCATTCGCATCATTTGTTTTATATTTAATATCAATATTTACATACATTTCTTTTCAATGTATGAATTTTTAGTTTAAATTATATTTGTTTAACATTATTGACAGACAAATGATTGTTGTTATCGTTTAAGAGCTTTTTATACACTAAATAACTAGCATTTAAGCGCAATATTCTTATATATAGAGAGAGAATATACGAGTATTTATGTGACACACTATGCATTCATTATAGTCTACAGTATATTACATAACTATAAGTAATAAATAATTATTAATATATAGTCGACTGCCATATGGGCTTAGATTTACTTATGTTTTAATGATATAGGAAACCAAATTAATCTTTCAATACACATGTCTTTACGTAAATATTATTATACTTTTAATATATTTCAATATAATGCATAGATTTATGTATACATTGCTGTTCATTAAGCGCTACACTTTATTAATGCCAAACATAATTATTTCTTAATAATATCACGAATATTCTGCATATTTATCAAAATAATTAAATGTAAAGTTTCATAAAGTTGTATTGAAATTACCATATTCTGCTTTTATAATACAACTCAGTGAATTGTTATTATTCTGTTTAAGGTAATAAAAATGTAATATTTAAAATATTAATAAATTCTTTGTGAAAAGATTTATATCAGTATAACTATTGATATTACAATATGTTTTACTAATAACTAATAATGACGTGAATATAGCTGCGGTCGAGGCGTGTCTATCCTATGGCCTCAAACGCCGAGCACTCGGCCTTTTTAAGACCAACTCGACGACAGCGTTACTGCAAAAAGTGGCCAAATTCTCTGAACCGGCGACTGTTGTCCTTAAGATGGTTACCGATTTAGAAAGCGGTGATCCAAACAAGTAATTCATTAAATAGTGGTGTTTAGGAGATTAATGATAACATTTGTGTAAATTCTTGGTGATGTAGGCGCTCGTCATCGAGTAGTGACAGCATTAATAAGAACCGATTGTCCAAAACTAAACAGCAGAGCTCTACCAAACCTGTCGTCCGGTATCTGTGGATCAGAATAGCATTGTTTGAGAAGCATTTGGTGTCAATTGTCGACCATTTGGTTGAAAATAGCAACAAATACTATGAAAAAGACTCTTTGGTGTCAGACCCGGTGTCCGGGCAGATACTGGCCTCACTATTGGTCGGTCCGTGTGCTCTGGATTATAGCAAAATGAAAACTCAAGATCACTTCTGGACGGATCCACCGGCCGATGAACTCGTTCAGAGACACCGACTGTCGGGCTCTTTACAAAACGGTCCGTCAACTCCGCCGACGGGTCGCAAACCATTGGGTCTATACTATCGAAGAGGTGTCGACGGATCCAAATCGTCGACCAGTGCTGACGAGAAGAGTCCTCCGGTGTGTCGTACGTCACTCTCGTGGTCGCCAAGAGATTATGTCGAGTCTTTGCATCAAAACTCTCGCTCTACTCTATTGTACGGCAAGAATAATGTTATGATTCAACCGGTAATTTAGTTTCAATAAAATTTTGAATATTTGCTTATTTTTAATGATTTTTGTCAAATGTTTAATTAATTTGCAACATTAGAAAGAGAATATGGAGGCAATACCCGGATATTTGTCACTGCATTCAACACATATCGGTTTAATCATCAAATGGACACCAAATCAGCTCATGAATGGTTGCACTCCAAGTATGGGTGATATACCAGCCGTCGATTCCCCTAATAGTCAGGACAAAAGGTTTGTCGTTATTTATAAATTATATTTAATTGAATGAATCTGAGTTGAAATTAAAAAACTAAACCACTGGAAAGTATTATATTAGATAAAAAAGGATTTTACACATGAATTAACTTATTGTTTAAATAGAGTTTTACATAATAATAGTGTAATAGTGATTGAATCTGACATTAATTAATGTGAAATAATTATCAAAATGTGTGCTAAACAGCAAAGGAATCTCTAATACTGTGGAATCTAATAGAGTTTAGGAATCTTTTTAATTACAGTATATGTTACATAAGATCCAAAACTTCACAGAATTTGACATTTAAGTCAAAACAATGCAATTTTCTCAGCCGTAATAATAGGATAATTAATTTCAGTTCAAATAAAATTGATATAAGAATCTTAAGTAATGATAATCTTTAAGAATCTTTATAAGAATTTTAAATATCAAATAGAATTATAATGTGTTTACAAAAAATATAGCATTTTTTATATATTAATTAAAATCTAAAATATTAATACAGAATCTTTTAAAATGATTGTTATATCAAAATACAAAATGTAATATTTATTATATACATAATTATCTATAATAATTGACAGCACATTCTGGGACTACGCCCTGAGTCTTAATGTGGATGAAATAGTATACCTCCACTGCCACCAACAGGAGGGCAGTGGGAGTATAGTACTGGTGGGTCAGGACGGGGTCATGCAATCGCCCATCAAATTCCCGAGAGGGGGACATCTCTTATCATTCCTGTCGTGTCTGGAGAACGGACTCATGCCGT